CACGATTGATTTTTTTGAATACATTTATACGTTCATTTAATTTTGTATCATCAACATTTGGTTTAGCACAAATAACATGTGTAACATCCGATGTTATTTTATGTGCTATACGTGCACCATGCAATTGACTTTCTAATATAATTAAACTATGATTTGAATCAATAAATAATGTTGATTCATCACCAATAGTCCAATATTGATCAAAATAAATATAAAATAAACGAAAAAGACCATAATCATATGATTCATCAGGAAAATAACTATTTTCAAATTCCGTTATAAATGAACGAAGTTTATCATTATCATTTAATGGATTTGATATTGTATCAATATTTATTGTTGATTGTGATAATGGAGTTGGTTCATCAAGACGACGTTTTTTATTTGTTGGTAATTTTTTACTTGTGGTTGATGATGAAGTTGATGTTGGTGTTGGTGTTGGTGTTGTTGTTGTTGATGTCATTTTATTAAATATTTCTCGAAGTTCATTTTCATTTGTTGATGTATAATATGCATCACCATATTCATCATAAAGTAAATCAAGAGCTTGACGAGTTTTTTCTGTACATGATATTAAATCCGATAAATAATATGGTAATAAATGTTTTTGTTCAACACAACGTATTAACCAAGCTATATGTACGATATCATTTTGTTTATTTTTAATTAATGTACGAAGACGAATACTATTGGGATTATCTAAACAAGGAAAAATTTTTATGAATTATTTCTATTCTAAAATGAAAAGATTTTATAATATTGATTGTGATTTATATCTTAAAAAACCTTATCAATTTGTATTCGATTGTGAAAAGAGGAATTGATGACAATAGGTAATGATTAAAAATACATGCTTTCAGGAGAGGCAATATATAGTATTTGATGCAATGATTTCGAACTATGAGAAAGAATCAACCTCTTCTTCGTTACATAGGATTAAAAATTCACTTATACTAATTTGTTCTAGAGTTCAACATTCGTTATTAACTATCTTTTACAATTCTATTTTTGCACACTTTATAAAGAATTGAATAGCGATGGGTTTCTTTTCAAATCAAGAGATTATGCAAGTGACATTTCCAGTTTAGCTTACTAAGCTATTCTTGATAAGACAACATTTGTTTCATTGAATCTGACATAACAAAATATTTCTGGTCGATAGATAAATCTTATAGTCATTAGAAACTCATCAAAGTATTAGCTAGGAGAAACATATCCTTATCGAGATATCAGCTTGTAAGGAAACTGCCCTTCTGTTGAAACATAATATAAACAGGCACTTCTTTTAAATGTAAATATTTAGATAAAGGTGTCTTCATTCTAGCTTAAACTTTGAAGAATTTCTAGCAATTATAATACCTATCCATGAACAAAAGTTCAGTTCAAAATTCAATCATACAAATTCTCAACAACTCTATGCTCATAGAGTAAAAATCGAATAAAACACTCGCAACGCGGCAATCAAAGACCAGAAAGTCAAATTAAAACAGATTCTTTCACTACTTATCATAACCGATCGCAGGCCAATAGTTTCAAGTGAAAAGTAATTTGAAAATTAGAAACGTTTTCTCATCAGCTAGAATTGTCATTAGAGCTGTACAAAACCGAGACTACGAGAAAAAACTTTAATTAAATATTCTATGGTTCGAAGCAAATTATCTTCTAAATCCTATCAATCAGTACATAATTCAAAAGACATGAACCATAAAACTGCTAATCATTCACTAAAACATCTCTAATTGTTTCGAACATTTGCTGAAAGTTCAGATTATAGCTGAATTCATAAGCATTTTAAAACAGCATTAAGATTATATTCGAAATCATCTCGATGACTTTATATATAACATGAGACTTCTTTTGAATAATGTATGAATTTCTTTTTGTCAGAAAAAAGTTCGATTCTTTTTTATTTTTACCTGTAACAACACAAAAAGTTTTTGCTAATGCATTTTGAACACAAGTTCCACCATTTTCATAAACAAGTTTTTCAAGTTCAGCTTTTGTATATTTTGTATTTCCTTCCATAATACAAAATTCCAATGATGAAAAATAATGTCCAGTTTGTTTAACAGATTGTTGATCAATACCACGAAAACGTGAATCAACTGTTGGTTTAGCTTGTTGTCGAGATTTTGCTTGTAATTTTTTTGTTAATGTTATTGTACGTTGGCCATCATCATTTAAATCAAAATCATCATTTAATTCATGTTCCATAAAACGTGATGCTAATTTACCAGCATTTCTTTCACGTAAATCAATTAATTCTTGATATGTAACACATTCATACCAAGCTTTATCTTCACGAAATTTTTCTAAACGTGGAA